TGAAATCCCATCAACAAGCATTGAGACCTTTACAGCTGCAGCAAAGGTGCGCTTCCCAGCCCCCACAAAATCCCCAGCTGGGCAGTCCCTCTTCCCTCCCGCTCCTTACCACTGGAATCAATAATGTGTGCATTATCCTCTCTGCTATCCTCTCTTCATTCAAGAAAAACCAGACGTGGTCCAAGGATAATGATTGATTGTTGGTTTTTCCCTGATGTTGAGCCCATACCATTAAGTAGACTGAACACAGAGAAAACACTGACAAACAAACTTCTCACCCTGCATAAAATTTGTATTCGATGGGTAGTCAAATTGTTTTCACCTTCAAAAAGCCATATGTGATGACATGAAACGTGGTAAAGCTGACCAGTGCGTTACAGTCACTTTTTAGTGTTTCCCTGAACAATTTAAATTTTTACATGGGTGTACATTTTTGGGGAGGGGGATTACTAACTTGACTGGCCCCCTTTTGATGTACATTGCATTTTGTTCACACCATAGAAACTTCAACAGTGACTGAGATGTATTAATAGCACCATAATCTTCAAAGAATTCATGTCTTAGGACTAAATTTGGGAAGCATACTGTTTCCTACAATATCACATCCTTCTCATCCTAGCTTTCAATGGAAGAGATGCTGCTGTTGCCGTGACAACCAGAGAACAACGCAACAGCTGGTGGTGAAGTCTCAAAATAATGAAGCAGGTTCTCAGGAAAACACCCTGCAGAGTATGTTGTCCTCTCCAGACAATTGATTCCATACATTGCACCCTGAAGCCTGCTGACATTTTGGATTACCACTTGGAAGAGTCAATTACCAAATACGACCTTGTGCAATTGGGTAGTTTGTGGGAGGGGGGACTTTAAGTTATACCATCTTGACAGTTTTAAGGACAGTCACGTTCAGTGTCCACTCTAAACATCTTTTTTCTGACTTCGTGAAGTTTATCTTTTGGTTCAATGATCAGAACACAAACAACTTCAGCAACAACCAATATGAAGCGCATTTGCTTGACACCTGCCAAGGGGAGTGCCATAACCAGGGTTGACAAGCTACACATATCTTCATGATCTTGTAAATGTTACTTACAGGCGTATGACCCTAAAGTGGGCATAGTATTCCTTGTATTCCTCCAAGAAGTCATCATCGAAGAGAGAACCTAATTTTTGATACAAAAAAGTTTAATGATAATTAAACTAATGTACCAGTATATATATTGATATCATCATATCTCGATCTATGGACAGATACACTGCATGTAGAAAACAGAAATCTCTTAATCTGAAACTAAACCAAAGTCAAGAAAGTTTGGGGTATAAGAAAAAAATTAAAGAAAATCGAATTGTTTCCTGTAACACACTTTTGAACCACAGCTTAGTGGTAATGTCCTTCTCTTTAGTTGAAAAAAAAAGATGAAGTTTATGGTGTTAACATACATGTACAGAAAACAATTACCACAAAGTCAAGTGGGGAAGTGTTATTAATAATCCATTTGATAACAAATTATGAGGGCCATTGAAATAAGGGAAAATGACAAAACAAACCAAAGCAATTGAGCAATATAGGTGTTATTTTAGTTGAACTCACCGATTGTGGATGTGTGAGGATTCCAACTACTTGCGACCTCTTCCAACTGGAGAAAAAAAGAAACGCAAACCTGATAAACATGTTTAGATATTTTGTACCAACTAAACCCCTGTGATGTCCTCTACGATCCTCCAAAAGTTAGAGAGTTCAGGACTGTGAGGGTTAAATAAGTACCTTTTTTGATTCAGTGCATCATCTTTGACGACACTGTAATGTGTTCCCTCCACATTTAAATTTGATGTTGAATATAAAATTTCAACAGTTAACTGTCACAATTTATGAGGTCATGCAACATTTACATTTTCTGTAAAGAGGCAACATTTTTCCACTGAGATTTAACAGTATGTGTAGAATTTCCACATATTTTAAATAAAAAAAAATCAAGACGTTTAATTTTTGCAAGCTGCAACAGACTACACAATGTATTGATACAGTACTGTACATTTGCCTCTGTGAACTTTTCATCCAGATTTTTAAGGACCAAGTCAGTGTACATGTCCAGTAAATTATTACCTCGAAGGTGACCTTGCATTTTGTGAATGAAAGCATTGTACATGTACATGTACTAAAACATCCTGTTATTATTTGACTTGCACTTGGACCAATCTGTCCACAATACTGATCAAAAGTGCATTAAGACAAGCCACACTGTTTACCCACAGACATGACAGCGACTTAGGTATCACCATGTACATACATGTCTGTGTTGATGTCAATGAACTTGGTATCACCATCAGAGTGCAGATTTCACAAAGCTGGTGAATGAAAACTTTCAAAGTGTACATGTACGTCAAACACCTCTTCAGGGGGAAAAAGTACATTGAAAAGGTGTGTCAACATTCCCTTCCAGTTACAAGAGTGGGCACACCAAAACTCCCAACACTACACTTTGTTCAAATGTATACACTTTCAAATTGGTGTTTGCTCTCTGTGTTTTTCCTCATGTCTGCACATACAGACAGGTTTACATACCGGTACATGTACATGGGATTACCTGTATATATAGAGGGGTAGGAAGTGAGGTGATATGGAAAACTGGTATCCTTTTTTCCCCCCGATGTTTTGCATCTGAGCATGCTGGATTCTGAAAACTTAACTTGTACATTTAACTTTTTGAGGCTCTTGTTATGCTGCTAAGAACTTTGCATATGCATTGTACTCCGTACATGTACCAGTATAACGCCTTTGTCCAATAAATGGGGCAAGAAAGCCCCCCCAACAAATATACTCAAGTGTACCCTTGCACAAATATGGTACAATCAATCCAAATGAGCCTTTTGTAATAAACATTTCCCTAGTTTTCCAAATTAGTCTTTTGTAATAAAACATTTCCGTAGTTTTCCAAATTAGTCTTTTGTAATAAACATTTCCCTAGTTTTGCAAATTTTTCAGGACTTACCAATGACTCTCCAGGACAACTTTTTTCCAGGATATTTTCTGTGAATTTTCTTTGATCCTACGAAGCCTGATATGTGTTCACAGCCACAGGGCAACCTACATGTGCAGTACATGTAACAGCAGACATACACTGACAGCTACAGACTATCATTTGTTACCAAATCCCACAAAGTGAGTTTGATTAGGTCATTCTTCACTAACATGGTTTTATTAGTCTGTAGGAAAAAGAGCAAATGGAGCTTCTTGTTATTCAGTTTGACATCAAGATGAAACTGGGCATTATGTTGGTGAACAATGTTGGGAAAGGCCTTCAACTCAAAAGCGGTTCTGGCAACATGTGATTCATTTTGTAAGGTTTGGGTCACTTTCTGATCTCAATTTTAGGTAATGTAAGTTTACACATTGGACAATATTCCCAGTTAGCACTGAAATTAAGAAACAGAGACAAACAGTTTAATTCTCTCACTGACTCCTGTTGGGGCAGGGTCACTCAGCAGCCTACCCATTAGGGGATCTAGGGGTTTAGCACTGATCAAATTTGTACCACTTCACACCCTCACCCACAGCTTTGCAAGACTTCTACAAACAATTTGTATCAACGTTCCTCAGCCTCCAAGAGGGAGAGTGTGAGAATTTGCCAAGGGACAGAGATGTTTGGGGTTGTTCACGTCACTCCTGGAATGTCTGTTGCAATTTTGACTTCTGGTTGTGATGGCTGGTTTAACTTTTACTGTCAAACAAATAACACAAAGTCTGTGCTTGCACAACTTAAGGGAGGTTCAAGTTGCCATCACCTCTTTCAGGTGAACAATGTACTTGAACTTTGGACAGAACTGGGGTCAACCTCTGCGTATCTCAGGTTTGAGATTCAGTCCTGTCGTTCACAAGTAGAGGCTGGAAGGGACAGACTGTACACACTCAGGAAAGGAGCATTCTCTTGGCTCTGTTACAGTCACCTACATGTACAGGTTGTTTTTCCAGATATAAACTATACGTACCAGTACAAGGCATAATGCAGCCCGCATACATGACATACATGTACATTGTATGTCAAGCTTTGTTTACAGGTGCACTTTACTATAGCATTGAGTTACATGTAGGACATGATCCACTAAGCCCCTACATGTGTACTTGAAAGTGCATATTGTAGCGCGGGTGGGTCCGGCCGGTGGAGGCGCCCGCTCGGACCCACATAGAGCCAGCTGGCTGCCCCTGCTGGTATGCAAATGGCCCGCGGTTTTCCTGCCTCGCACCTGCGCAGTCTCCGCCTAGACGCCTCGTGTCTAGAGCTTGGGTATGAAAAACAGTTTTGCTGACGTCGGGAAAAATAAACAGAGGTTTCTTGCTCAGAACAGCGATTTGTGGTGGACTGTGTGCTTCTGTGACTGCGTCAGAGCCCGATCAGTAGGACACGCTACAATATTTAAACAAGGCGTGATGTTTTAGGTCTGGTGACTGATGGCATGTTCAACTTAATTTTTCTCATTACTCATTTTCACTGGCAGAAAGATGCATGTTTATGGCACAGAAAGGCACACTGGACATGTACATTCACACTCACATTTGGTCCGCAGCTGTGGGGACACACACTCATCTTAACGATTTTGTATACCCTTCAGCTGGTTTTTACCCACAAGATTTTTGCAGTTTGAAAGACTTTCTCACTGAGGGCCACCACGGCAAAATGACAGGAAACAGTGGAGTGTGGCAGAGGGTACAACTGCTTGCCAATGCTCATTGTTGTGAAGTGAATATGCATAAAGCCTACGCGAACCTCGGGCTTGAGTGTTGCCACACAAAGAGGGAATGATTCTCCCTACCCCAGTTACATGTACATGCAGCTAATCTTTTAACTCATTGTTTTAGACATACACTACAGATGAAGTCAACACTACTTGTCAGTGTTAACTCTCAAATACTTATCTTTGACCCCCCCATGACCCAGGCCAAATATTATAGAAAAAATAATCAACCCTTGGGACATCTCCAAGAATCAAGAAATATGTACATACAGGTCACATCAAAAAGTGGCCAGAGATTTCTAAAAATAACAGCCAGGTCACCCCTTGCCACAATGATGAGATTTTAAAGTACAGGAGTGAGACAGATCTCCAGAGAACAACTTTGGACAGATGCAGATGGAATGCAGGAACAAGAAATGAAACCCTGGGACAATAAATGTAACCCTGGGATTTTTTCAAAGTTAGAGCAAGCTGGGCATTAGTTAAAGTTTGTCCAATCCGCCATGAGCTGAAGTGCACCCTCACTGGCGAAAGAAAGACAGATAGTACAAAGTTTTCCAACTGGGTTCTTGCACGTGTTCAGCGTGCACGCAAAGACCCATACATTTCAGACTAAATTCACTGCGCGCACTCAGCATTCCTCTGTGCCAAATGCGCATAAACTTGCGTGCCTACGGTATGCCGTGAATGCGTACCTAGCCAAAGGACTGTCAATTTTATTTCAAAACACACCTGCTCGGAGCGGACAGAATTTGAGGGAAGTGATGTCTTTTGCGGCACTGAAATACTGTTGAATACAATGAAGCTTTTATGGATGGTAAAATATAATTGCTTTCCATGTTAGTCATGCATGCTACTACAGGTCTTAAAAGCATTTAATATGCTGGTATATATATACCTGAAGTACAAACTGTTCACAAAGTATGATACTGTTCACCAGCCCTTTGCATCTAGGGATGAAAACTCACTAGTATTGCAAGGGGTCGGGTGAATTATGGGAGTGACTTGCAAAGGAATGATGGTTGTCCTCCTCCAGGGGTCACTGTAACTGCAGGGATGCATGAGATTGGCTACATTTACTCCTGGGCTTTGGTAAGATGGAATTACAACTGAGAAAAAAAAAATTGTGCCCAAGGTACATACGTACAAACTAGTGCCCTGAAGCTGAACAATCCTTTACCGAGTAATGTAACTTTCATCGTGGTTAAGATGTTCTCCAAAATGTTTGCGTCATCTTATAACTCTTGTGCAGTCCGTATCTTTTTCCAAAGGTTTGAAAACAGAGAGCAATACTGGTCACTTTCAGTGAAGTACTCCAGTGATGCACTGTCCAACCACACTACTGCCAGTTATGTTTATTTTCTTTGCACTTAACTGCACAGATTAAAGTACACAATAGAGCATGTACATGTAGTGTAGAGGTACATGTACAGCGCATGTTCATGTTGTAAGTACAGTGTACATGTGTAGCACAGTAACCTTTACTACAGTGTATCTTTCATTTGGAGAAATAATGTGTTGTTTGTTGTTCAAAATTGCATGTAAAAAGACATTGGGGAAGTCAAAATGCGTTATACTGGTACCTACCGGTATCCTCTACATCATACATGCACATTGTACATGTACATGTAAATGTAACTACAGGCTTCACAGCCATGCAAGCAAGTATATTTCTTGCCATGAAGTAACCTGTGAATTTTGTGTAAAACTGCTACCGTATGAAATTTGATGTGTACATGTACATGCATGTGTGGAAGTTAGAGGCTGGTTACATGTACCTGCATATTACTGTGTCTGACAAATCTAGAACTCTCCTAAATCTCTGGTGATTCCACATTAAAAGTAGATGAGATGATTTGGGTGAAAGATTGGACCCAGGCTTCTTTGACATCGCTTGCTTTCATATGTAAAAAAAAAAAATGTTTTCCTATTCAGTCAGACGCTGTGACACATGAAACATCAGTCATGTTGTCAAACTTACAAAAATGGGTTTTCTTTGACTATTTCTCAGCGACAAAACTCACTTCTTGCTTTCACGGTTGCAGAGCAAACTAAAAATTCTGGTCTGAACAGAGTGCAGTTTCTTTTCCGGAGTGGCAGACTGAGTAATTGTAGGTGGCACGCAGCCAGGCTTGTCAATTTTTGGAATGCTTGTAAGTTGTAGCTCATTGTTAAAATCTGAGGATTAGGGGACTGAGTTTTAAAACTGAGTAAAGTCAACAGATCATGGAAGGGATTCTGGTCGCGTGCAACCTTTTGCTATTTCTCCCCCCTCCAAGCTTTTAATTCAAGCTTTTAGTTCAATGGGGGTCGGTGGGGGAGTGTTGTTAAATCACCCACATGTGCATGCAGAACTTTTACAGGAAAGTACATGTATTATAAATAAAAGTAATGATGGATTTCCAAGGCTATCAGAATAAGGAGTCCTTTGGACATTTTCAATCAAAGAGTACACGTATATTAATGTTATCAACATATTGAGTGTGATTTTTACAAAAGCTTGATATCAACTACCAGTATATTGCTACACAATGAAAGGCTTTTGAACTAGAGTCATGAATCCTGATTTCACAAAGATATTGTTTGACTTCATTTTTCTCATCTGGTACAATCAAAGCTTTTCAGAATAAACTTTAAGATGACTTCAGCAGAAATCCTTTACTTACCTTAGTCAGAAATGTGGCACTCACAGTCACCATTTGCTTCACACTGGAAAATATACGAGTGTGGTCAGATTTGGGCATCGAAGGTGACTTTCTATGGGCAAACAAAACATAAATTACAATTCAGAATACACATAATTTCATCAGAACTGATTACGAGCAAATAGGGAAATCCCATACCAATAAAAACTTGTTTCACCATGTTACATGTACATGTACCAACCTCATTATTATTCATGAGCACAAAGCACCTTTTTCAGAAATGAAGAGGAAAAGAATAAGTATTACAATTAATTTCTTCGACTTGCACTTTTTGTTCATGAACTACACTGTAGTCAGAAACAGTGTGACTGTTTTGCATAGAATTACCCAATTAGTTACAGTTATTGGATACCGGTAATGTTTTAAATTTGTTTCAGTTGCGTTTGTTAAGATTTCTAAAACCTGCTATACATGTACATGTACGGTATGTATGGCACTGGTACAACGGTTACCATGTAACTGTTGATTTGGCGCTGAGACAGACTATACTCGTGTCAAATCTGAACCTCTGGTTTTTGGCCGGCCTTCATTACCCTCAAATGCTTAAGCCTCAAGGGTGCACCCTTGCAAAATGGCCCAAAATATGTCCGCCAAGTTCATTAATAAAAGTTATACACTCCAAATATTGTTGCGTTTCCTAAATATCAAGTCGATGGTAGCATGGACTTTATTAGTGTC